CCAAAGATAAATAAATTAAAAAAAAAAAAAGACCCAGCTCAGGATTCATTTACATATTTGCAAACGTTTTATTTGGAATTTTAGTGCACATTCAGTACTGTCATCTTTATTTATTTATTTATTTAGGCTGCACTCAGGTGTCTGCAGAAGAGCCACGTGTGTAGCTCCTGCCCCGCGCGCCAGGCTGCCAGGAGGTCCTGCACCTCCAGTGGCCCCCTTAATCCTTGAGACATTGAATTCCCCAGGGGCTATTACTGTCCCTATTTCACAGACGATAAAACTGAGGCTCAGAGGTTTGGTGACCTGGCCAAGCTCCTACCACTGGAAAGTGGTGGAGCTGTGGTTCTAATCCAGGCAGTGGGGCTCAGGCCTGTGCTTTCCACCACTGTGTCGTGCTGCCTCTCCTTCATGCGCTGCCTTTGTAGGGCTGAATCTATTTGTGATGGTATGTGGTTACTGCGGTTTCTGTCGGGGGCCCTGACACAAGGCCCTGTCCTTGGTAAGTGGTCAGTATGTATTGGCTGAACGAGCGAACGAACGAAATGATCCCTTAAGTGATCAAAACACCCTCATCCTAAGTTCCCTCTCGTGGACTGAAGGGATATGAGCAGAGCACTGATACACGATGGATGCTCAGGGGGCAGAGACGGGCCATCCTGGGCCAACCCTGCCAGTGGGAGCCAGGGAAGGCTGCCCTGAGGAGGTGACGTTGGGTAAGTTTTGCAGGATGAGTAGGAGTTCACTGCAGCACAGACATCCAGCCTGAGAGCACCTGGGGCTGGGAGCATCGCCTGTGGTGGAGGTTCGGGCTCAGCTTCAAAGAGCCTCCCTTCATTGCAGGTGCCTCTGTCTCCACACGGAGGCCGGCCCGAGAGCACACGGCAAACCAGAACGAAGGGACAGATGGAGATTCCGGACGACTTCTTTCAATGCTCGCATCCACATGGGCCCGAGGTCCTGGACTTGCATGACGTGGGCTTCTCTCCCCGTGTCGTTAAGGCCAGTCTGGCTGGGTGTCTGACCCTGGTTACCGGAAGGATCCAGGGCAGAGGAGAGCTGGCCCAGCTCAGGGGCCAGGGTGAGGTCTGCAGCCCCTCCAGCGCTGAGTCCGGAGGGAAGGGCAGCTGCAGGGGTGGAGACACTGGTGCATTCTCC